AAGTGCCTTGGTAGCATAAATTAGAAAGATTATTACTGCCTTTATTTAATTTTTTTCTCTTTGTGAGTCCTCAAAATTATGCATAAATATAGTTGCACAAAGTGAAAATCAGATGTACAAAGAAAGCTCTAAAAAATAAAATAATTTCAAGTTAACAACTAAAAAAATTCACTTGTTCAAATGTATCTTTAATCCACTGAAAACAAAGCTAGTTCATTTTCTAATTCGACAGAAGATATCAAACTAGGACATGCAGAAACACAGTGCTAAGAGATAAAATACATTATAGGTCTTGATCTTATCAGTTGAACTCCCACTGTAAATGACAGAATTCTGCAATGCTTTCCACACCAACTTTCGTAGCTCTGCCCTAAGGAGGGTGCTGGAACATCCATAGAGCCAAAACTTCCCACTAGTCCCTGGACAACAATGGGAAAGGGACTCAAGGCAGATCAAAGAACCGCACTGAAAAATTACTTTAGTTTCCCTTTAAGTGTAAAATCTGGAGGACTGCAGGTTCTCTCTCACAAGAAATAAAACAGAAAATGAAGGTGGTTAACAACAGTAATTTTATTTAGAATTTCAACCACTCTCACTGCAAAGGCTCCAAATTCAGAATTTCAGGTTAAATATACTCAGCTCCTTTTCCGTTGCTAAAAGGAAATCATTGAAAATTGCTGTTCACTGGGGAGCAAGTCGAGTCCCATTCCTTAACAGTGGCTACTGTACATGGTTGTAAACAAAGAACCTGATTATTCAAATATATCTAACAAATATGATTTCCCTAGGCCACTACAGATTCAATAGAGACCTCTGTCTTTGATTCTGACTTCTGTCAAATATCATATATATTTTAATAGGAAAAAAGCTGATATTAATTAAATATGAATACTAACACCACCTGTACAGGTAAACCACAAATAATAGAACATTAAGTATTATTTCTTTGTGCAATGAGTTCACCCAGATAGCTTTTTCTGAATCTTGGAATCATGTGTCATTGAAGCTCTACAAACTACTTCTCTGCTCCATATTCTTCTGTTTATTGTGATTTAAAAATATGATATCAAGCAATAATCTTTGCAGGTTATATGGGTATGCATGTGAATGTCTGTGCTAAGATTTAAAGAATTATGATAGGAAAAATGTGTTATCAGATAGAAATAAGGTGGAAGAAATCTCTTTATAATATTGGGATACTAACACTCAATTTATAAGTATACATTTTTAGTAATCTTTTCTACTCCCATGAAAGGGAGACAAAGTGGGGACTAGTCTCCATTCTGGCCAAATCTGGAAGATAATTAGTCACATTATAATGGAATTCTACAATATGTGAAAATTAACTGTGGAAGATGCAAAGCAATCAGTATTAAAAATGTTTATATGACCCTTTTTCCTCCTAGGAACTGATGCTAATATAACAAACATTGTTTACAAGATGACAATGCAAGCAATCAATTCACTGTGTATTCACTGGAGTTGAAGAAAAGGTCACTCAAACTAGGATTTTTGATATTATAAAGATAAAACAAGAGTTTGATAAAGTGATTGTTTTCCCTTTTTTCAATTGGCTGCATAAAAATAGTGTGGACACAGATTGAGTAACTGGAAAGATGAAAAAACACACCTGATGAACTGGTCAATGAGTTGACCTCTTTGTTTTCTATCTTTGAACTCAATCTGCTTTCTGCTAAAATCATCTTGCCTATGTGCAAGTGAGAGGGAGAGCAAAAAAATAGATGGGGAGCACGTTTTTACTTTTGGATATGTGTCTACATACACATGCGTATACTAAGAACTATAGAGTTTCACTCCAAAGCACGCTATTCCATGATCCCCTCCCACAGAGGGTAAAGATATATTAAAATCCTTTTGGTAGTTGAATAAACCAGCCCCCTTTGAAGACATCCAAGATGAACCAGTCTTATATCAGTATTCCTTGGTAAAAAATAATGTTGCGAAGAGACAATTCAGTGTTCTGGCTAGCAAGTTAAATAATATGTGAAGAGGTGTATGTTCTATACTCTTGTTTATGGAAGCAAGCATAGTGACATAATATTTTTTTACTGGGATACACAAAGGTTTAATTTTACGGATTCTATTTACAAGGGCAGCAACCTACGTCCTTTTGTAGAATTTCCTTCCTTACTTCTTTGAGGTTGCAGAAATTAACTGGATTTTACTTTTCAGACTGTACTCATACTCTTTTAAATAATCCCCTAATTTCGGAGAATGTTCCACCAGCAGTGCTCTTAAGCAAAGGTACTTTTTTTAAATCTTATTTAAAAAAAAAAACCTTAATTGAGTTCAAATATATTTTATATTCGCTTTTCTTAATGCTTCAAAAATTAACATCTGTAAATGAGTAAGTTTGAAGATTGTTATTTTGAAACTACTATGGGGGCATCTGTAGAGAATGTTCTATTCTTATTTTACTGAATTGATGAATGTGAGTGACATCAATTCAAATGGTATTATTTTGCGTTCTTACTTTTTCTTCCTTCCAAGACTTGTTTTAAAAGGGTCACATCTTTGGATTTGTAAGTGCCAAGTCATGGAAATAATTTCTACAATGCTATGGTTCCATATGTGCCTTTAAAGAGATCTGACAGATGGAAAAACACATTCTTCATTTGGGAAACTACTTTTTAGCCCTAACGTTTTTCTTCTCCATTCTATTTCTGATTCTCCCTATTCCTAAGAAAAGGTATTTTGAATAAAATGTTTCTTAAATATTTCTTCTTATGTTTCTTCTTATAGCCTACTGGCAATTAAAGGAACAACAGCAGCCTGGCTTGGGAGCAAGGAGAAATGCTAAATACTTCCAAGGGAACAGTGTTTGATTTTATTAAAGACAAATACAGTTCATTCTCTAATTTAGGCAACAGTTTTCTCTACCTACCTTTTTCTTTTTAGTATAAGAAACCACTTTCCAAGGATAATACTTTTCTTCCTTTATTATTGAAAAGAGAAATGTTATTTAGTTGTTTATTTCTTTTTTGTTATGCATGCAGAGGGACAACAACCATGTAGACAACACACACACTCTGCATGCTTGGTTCTCAAATTTGAGTTTGTTCATATATCTGAATGTTCTATTGCTCTGATTTAACATTGGGGATGAAATTTCATTGCATTCACCCTAGTATGATTATTATTATTCATTTTGAACCCACTAATTTTTATATCACGACAGAGAGCCACTGTTGTGAGGACCTGTGACAAACTGGGCACAAAGTTGCGTCTCCTACTGAGATCTTGGTTGGCAGCAAGAATTGTAGCTATCTCAACAAGGAAAGCCCCAGGCAGAGCCATCAGCATCTCCTGAATTTAAGGAAAATATTATGTTTATTATACACATAGAAATTGATAAGATTTCCTAAAAGACAACTAGGCCTTGGTTACATTTTAGGATAAAAAATAAAGGGAGCAAAGGAAGCAAGTTTTATAAATATGGAAAATATATGTATCAATAATAAATATCAGCAAAATATACAGGTAAATAGTGATGAATGTCTATATCTTTCTATTTACTTATCTACTAAAACATCTACACATGGTTCTATTAAATAGTTTAGGATACACTGCAACTTGGTTTCTGTATACAGTACTCTAGGAAGGAAAACTATGACTTTTTAATCAACTCAAAATTTGTATTGGATATTGAGTAAGAATGAGGTTGGTTGATATGAACAGCAAGAGAACCTACAGGTATATAGCTATGGATTTTGTGCTTGTAGGTATATCTCTATGAAATCAACACTGTCTAGAAAAAGAGAAAATGCCCTTGAGTATCCACATAACATGTGGCATATTTCATATACAGTACACACATGTATAGTGCACCATACATCTGTAAATCATTAAGCAATTTCAAAAATGCAAGACATTACATGTGATAACCATTACCTATTAGAATGATTAAATAGTTTTGCTCTGTCCAACAACAATAACAAAACACCTATCTCAGATTTTGAATTGAGGAGGGCTTTATTTATGGAAAATTGTAGGTAAATATTTTACTTATTTCTTAATATGCATCTATCAAAAAGTTGAATAATGAATGTATAATCAAACCTTTAAAACAGAAGTCCTTGAGACTTAATAAAATACTCCTCAGCCATCAGAATAGGTCCCTTATTTTAAGGATGGTCTTGTAAAAGAAAATAACATGTGAATGAGAGGAAGAGTGTAATAAAAATTCTTCCTCCCAAACGTCTCAGTGTAATATTTTTTTCATCGCCCAAACTCAAGTAGGAATGGACAAAATTCAGCCTTACTGGGAAAAACAGTTCACCGGGATCCTGGGCCCAGAGAGAGACTTAAGAAGAAGGGTACTTCTCTTTACACACAATCATCTCCCCATCCCACATCAGGGCAATGGGGCAATGGGGCAATGGGGGCTCCCATATCAGAGGGGATCCTGGGCAGGAATGGGGAGGAAGAAGGTGAGCGCAGCCAGGCAAGAAGAAATCCCAGGCAAACTCTCAGTCCAGTTTCAGAAAGAACACATTAGGAGAAGGGTCTATGTATTTGAGAGAGAGAGAGAAGGGGGGATTGGGTAGAGAGAGAGGGAGAGAGACAGAGAGAGAAGGTGGAGGAGTCTATCCTTTTGGAAAACATTAATAAGATTGCACCTTCTGAAATGAAATCTGCTCCCCCCCTTCACTGATTTCCCCAGCCATTTCACACTAATCTGGGTGTTCCTTGTGTGAGTGGGAGCCCAAGCAGGCCGCCTTGTATGTGTATTTGTGTGTGTGTATGTGTGTACTCCAGGGCTGAGCTGCAAGGCCAAAAGTCAAAGGAAAAGAATCAAGAATCAAAACAATGACTAATGATTTCCAACCTGAAGCAAAGCAGACGCGCTGCTCACCCGGAACGTGCCTCTGTTTAAACGCTCCACTTCACACAGCACACAATACAGCCAGAAGAAAACACACACACACACACACACAAACACATACATATCCATACATAGAGAGAGATACATGTACATATGTTTTTTGGAAAAATGTTTTATTTAAACCTTTTTAATCTTTTACAACAATAAAATATTGCGTCAATATAAACCCCTTGACTAAAACTGTTCACATCAAACATTACAGCGAATTGTTTTCTTTTTGACACCCAACTCATCTTTGAAAGAATTTCCTTTTAAACACAACGCAGAATTTATTGAAAATAAATAATTGTTGGCAACTGCAATAGGCAATTTGAATAAAATAGTTGAAAAAGCAACTCTTAATGAAAATAGCGTTTATTATACATCAGTTACTAAATGAATAAACTAAATGATCTTTTTTAAATTAATAACTTCAAAAACGTTTAATATACAAAACTGTACAATTATAAAGTCGGCAGAAATATTTGGGTTAACTCAGGTTTGAACCATAGCATTTAACTGCAAAGAAAAAAATTGGAACAAACAAAATACCCCAAACAGTTGTAAAACATGAAGTCAGTTCGGAAAAAAAAAAAAAATCCCAGAACTAAAGCCTAAGTACTAACAGAATGCAGAGGCTTGACAACAAAAAGTATAAGGGTCCGGGATTTGAATTAACACATGCTCTTGGACCTGCAGCTGGGGGAGACACAGTGTGATGGACCAGAGGCCTGGCAGCCCATACTAGCGCATCCTCGAAATGGGGCCCGGGGTTTTCTGGTCCTTAGGTAGTTTGAAGCTTTGTCTACCGCAGCTGCTCCTGGAAGTCAGGCAGGGTGACCAGCCCAGGCGTGTGGAGTCCCCAGCCAGGTCCCGCCGGCGGCGGCTGGGTGTTGGGTGGTTGACCGGCCCCACACATGGGTGCTCGCTGGGAATGAAGTGCACCTGTGACTTGGCATGTGGACATGAGGGCTAGCAATAAAGCCACAGCAACTGCATATTTTTGGGATCTCTACATAGCCTAGCGAGATTTTTTTGTAGTTTTGTTTTTTGTATATAGTAATACAATACGCACATCTATCTACACACACACGTTTGCACTCGCACGCACGCACCCACGCACAGAGACACATACACACAGAGAGATAAAAAAGCAGGAGCCCAGCCGCCCCCAGGCGCTCGCTAGCTCGCTCGCTCGCCGTGGGCTTCCACCAGCTGTGCTTGTCAGAGAAGCCGAGAAGGCTCCCAACACACAGACAGCGGCTGGACCAGAATCCCTGTGACCTTTGCCAATCGTTTCATTGTCGTTCTGCACTGAGCAGAGAGCGCCTTGTCCCCCCTTTCACCCCACCACCCCTCCCGGAGGATTTCTTCCTTCCAGGACGGGCGAAGAAGTGGAGGTGGACCAAACTGGGAGGCGCTGGCCCAGTATGTCGCCAGCGTCCCTGGGTCGTGGTCTCCAGCGAAAGCAATCGCTTGAGAAGGCAGTCTTTCGTCTAGGAGAGCCGAGGTGGGGTTGCGCGGGCTGTCGCCCTGGAGAGACTGCGGGCCTGTGGGGAACTTCGCTCGCAGGCATCCCGGACTGCAGTGGATTCGGAACCCCCCAGTCGCTCAGGCCACCTCTTTTTAGACCGGCGCCACCGCCGAATCCTTCGCAGGCACCTGGATCTAAGCTGTGGAAGCCTGCAGGGGTTCCACAGTTCTGGGAGGGAGGGCCAAAAGCTGCGATATCGCCTCTTCTACTTCGCGCTAGTTTGCAAACCCAATCGGGTTGCCTATTGTGCCCAAAACAGACACTCCAACCCCCGGAAAAAAATATATATATATATAACCAATATCATCATCGGCAACCCTCTCCATTGTATCCTCCCTTCTCCATACAGATTTGGGATGGGAGTAGGTGGGTGGGTAGGCATCTTCCCTCCTCCTCCTCCTCCCAGCCTCCCCTCCCTTTTCTAAGCAATTAAAAAACCATCAGCTCAATGAAGGAATAATAATAATAGCAATAATAATGTGGAGTGGTCGATTAGATACAAATTATCTCACAAATATTGTGTACAGCTTGTAGTAAAACACCGCAGACATTTAGAAACGCTATAGAAGTTTTAAAAAATGCAAAACTAGTCTATTGTAAAACAGATTTCACCTGAAATACAGCTGCTATAACCAAGGCGCTGGAAGGTTATTCAGAGGCACACATCTGTCTTCCCACCCCTCTCCCCCTCCCCTCCCCGCCCCCACATTATCCCACTCCTTGCTCTTCCTAGAGAGGAGTGACCCAAACAAATCTTACTCAGAGTAAACAATATGTACCGCTCAACAGAAAAGGTTGGAAGGGACTGTGCGCATGGCAGGGAATATGAGGTTCCCGCCTGGACTGCTTAATGTAAGTGTGTATACGCATAGAGTAGCCTGAATAGGAGCGTGAGTGTGTGTTTTCTTTCTCAACATAAGTTAGAACCCCCCCGTTAGAAAGAAAGAACGAATCAACGAAAGAGGGGAGAGGGAAGGAGGGAGGGAGGGAGGGATGGAGGGAGGGAGAGAGAGAGAGAGAGAGAGAGAGAGAGAGAGAGAATGAATCAGAGAGAAAGAGAGCAATAATAAAGAATGTTACAGTGAAAGGAATAGAGGGAAAGAAAAAAGAAATCCGCGCTGCTCCCAGTGCGGCCGCCGCCTCCTCACTTCCTCCAGTCAGAGATCATGGCAGGACGTGTCTGTTTTCACGGTGTGCGAATAAACCTCATGCGGCTGCTGGTCCCCTGGTGGAGTCATTCTTTTCTCTTTTTGTCTTCGATTACAGAACCAGACACGCACCACTTCTTTCTCCAACTGGAGGCTGTCTGCCAGCGAGGAGATCTCCTGCGCGGCAGGCTTGGGACACTTGAGGAAATGCGTCTCCAGTACGCCCTTGACACTCACCTCGATAGAGGTTCGCTTCTTGCGCTTGCGGCCCTGCGCGGCGATCTTGTCAATGCTGGTCGGACTCCCTGTGGACGAATCCGCCTCCTCCAGCCACTTGTTCAGCAGAGGCTTCAGCTTGCACATATTCTTGAAGCTCAACTGCAAGGCCTCGAACCTGCAGATGGTGGTCTGCGAGAACACGTTGCCGTACAGTGTACCCAGCGCCAGCCCCACGTCGGCCTGCGTGAAACCCAACTTGATTCTTCTTTGTTTGAATTGTTTGGCGAACTGTTCCAACTCATCCGAGGTTGGCGTCTCCTCGTCCGAGTGGTCCTGGCAGTGGTGTGAGCCCAGTTCGCCGTGGTCCGGAGGCTCTCGGAGGACCGGGTGCAGGCTCTGTGCAGAGGCGGCGGGCGGCGGTGGGGTGAGCGCCCCGTGCTCCAACATGCCGCTCACCGTGAAACCCGGTTGCGAGTACACGTTGAGGGGTTGACCGCTTGACGTGATGGACGGGTTTGGAGCCGGGCTCGCCCCCCAGGCGTTCGGATGGTTAGTGTGCGGCGAGTGATGGGCTACGTGTGGAGAGCGGTGATGGATGATCGCACCCAGTTGCAGGTCTTCACGCCCAGGCTTCACGTCCTGCTGGTCCAGGGGGCTAGTGGCCAGTGTAGAGGACCACGGGCCCCCGTCGCTCAGACTGGTCACCCAGTGATGCCCGAGGGGATGCCCATTGCTGGGAACTCCCTGCAAGTAATCACTTTGGAGAAGTTTCTGAGGGTTGCGGAAAGGACTCCCCTGCTGCATGCCCGCAGAGTCCGCATGGACCAGGGAGCTGGAACTGAGAATGCTGTAGGGATTCGAGGCAGCTGTGGCCATGGTCGATGAGGATCCCCTACTAGTTATAATGTGGCAAAGGGAGCAGCTTCAGCCTTTGACATCTACGGTGCGGGGGAGCCAAGGCAGCTAGCGCGGGTTACCGGCACCCGCCGCGACCAATTGGAGCACGCCTCTGCCTGACCAGGCATGAGCACCGCCAATGGCTGCGCAGGAGGCTGAGCTCGCTTTCCAAATTAGGCTGCTTTAGCTCGGGAGTTTCAGCGAGACCCAAGCAGGAAGTGAATCAGTCTTTCGGCTCCATTGGCTGCCTGGTGCAGAGTGGCGGTGGTTCATTTGATTAACCCTTTCCCTCCCCCCCCCCCCGCCCCCAGGACTAGGAGGGTGTTTGTGGTGGAGGAAGAAGTAAGAGAGGGACGTGCTTGTGTGTGTGTTGGGGGTGGGTGGGGTGGACGGGGATAAGGCGACAAATGGGTTTTAGAACTCTTTTTGATTTAGATTTACCTAAATAAAGAAAAAAATACTAGTTTCAATGTCATTTTCATCTTAGTGCATAGGGGTTTTTCAGAATCGCTCAGCGCTCTGGGTTAGTTGTCTGCCAGGGACTGCAAAACAAAGCGTCGCTAAGAACTTTGAACAAAGTAGCATCTTCTGTAAGACTCTAAATCAACAAAGTTGAGGTCTATGATACTAAAGAACTATTACAATTTATTTTTATTTCATTTTATCAATGGTAAGAGACTCGATATCAAGATCTGAAAGCGTCTAGGAAAAGATTATCAAATTCACCTGGAAAAATTTATTTAAGCTATGAAGAACTAAAAAATTTCTGTGAAAATAATGTCTAACGTAATACTGGCAAAATTATTGTGTTGAAGTTTGCTCCCCAGTCCAGCTGGTCAACTGGAAGCCGTGCTTTATTACTGCTCCGTGTCAGCTCCCATCAGAGGTGCCAGAACTTCTGTCAAAGGCGCTGGTTGCTGAAGCCGGCAGCCCTTACGCTCACCCCCAGTCACTCAGCGGGCTCACTTCCATAGGTACACAGAAAAATATTCAGGACACTGTTCTTGATGCTGTCCCCTTGGAAAACTGCTTTTAACACTCTCCCTCCCCTCAACTGAATCATTTAATGTGCTCTAGAAATTCAGAGCGCGAAATGATGGGTTGTTTGACATCAAGTATCTTCACCTCTCCCCAGTCCACATCGAGTTTAAATTTGTCTTCAGCTTGGGAAGACAGGGCTGCTTTTACATTTTGTTTAGAAGAAAAGAGAGGAAATAGTTATACTCCAAGCTTTTGTAAGTTAGGGAAGGACAAGTCTGTGTGCTCCACAGCCCCGCGCAAAGGCGTTGCTTGGAAGCAGAGTAGGGGGAAATGCAAAGATTTTAGATTTGCTCTAGCTGGGAAAAGGAAACACCCGATACCCAACGCCGTCTTCTGAAGTTAAAAAAATGACCTTTCATTGCATAATTTTGGAGGTAACCTAGCTGCGTAATTATATTTGCACTTACAGAAGACGGCATCAGAGTTCCCTTATTGGTTTGAAATTCCATTAAATATATTGCAAGAGCTCCTAGGTTAAGCTTGATTTAAATTTGCATACATTTTCATATATTTAGCAGAAATAAAAGAAGGCTTGCAGCTACCAGAAAGTCATTAAGGCATTAGTTTCTCTAAGAAGACAGATCTGAAGAAAATGCAAGAAAATAAGAAAAAATAAAAACAAGGTGAGCTTATTCTCCCATTCCTTTATATAGCTAAACAGCATCTATTTCCTGTGAAATGAGTGATTTCTTATGAGAGCACAGAGCAAGAGGGGCTGGTACTGGTAAATGTAAACGTGTCTATTAGACAGGAAAACCTACTATCTGCTTGAGATCTATTTCTTTCGATCTTAAAAAAAAAAAAACACTTAGTAATTATTGGTATAGAGGACCATTTGCCATCTCCATCCCCCCTCCCTGATTGAAATTGTAGTTTCATTTGCCGATATCGTATTGTAAGGGCTTATCTGCTTTTAAACCAGAAATTGATTTTTCTTCTCTCTCTCTCTCTCTCTCTCTCTCTCTCTCTCTCTCATCTTCTGCTGAGGAACATCATTTCTTACTGCCAAATGTGTGCATCTTACTTTGTAAGAATGCAATGTCATTTGGGAATGAATTGGTTTCCGAAGAAAAAGGAAACTGTTAATAATCAAACAAAAATAAAAGTTTTTTGGTGTTCTGTTGGGCTGTCTGGGGATCCATTTGCCGGTCTGTGTCAGGTCAGTTTAGAGGTCAGAAAGAAACGCATTGGAGAAATAGTACATGCAAAACGATCATGATCATTGCCATGTCGTTGGTAGGTTCCCAACCCCCACCTTGCAGCTGCGTTTGGGTGAAAGTGTTGCTAATCTTAGTCTGGCCAAGCAGGGGTTTAAGGTAATTATCAACCAATGAGGCTTTTGCATGAAAAGGGGATATTTTTCCAATTCTGACTTGCCTGAGTTCTTACAATCAACCTTCCTCTTGCTCACAGCCTCTGCTCCAGGTACCCAGTTTCGCCAGCCCTGCAATTGTGGTTCAGACCATTTGCCCAAGGTTGGGGGGGGGGTGGGTGGGTGGGTGTAGCAAGGAGAAGGCATCAGAGCCCAAGGCATCAGGTTTTTCCGCACCGTTGTTTTGCAATCTTTAATGTAAGAATAGCTGTTGTTAGGAGCAGAAATCATCATCATTGTCATTCTCTCTCTCTCTCTCTCTCTCTCTCTCTCTCTCTCCTTAAAAAACTGTTCTCATGAATATAGATACCACCTATTGAATTCAGTTGCAATCACAACCTTTATCAGCTGTGATAGAAATCGTCTCTTGTATGTAAAAAAGGTGTTTTGTTTTTTGAAGAAAATATCTGCATATAGTCAAATCTTCTTGCTGTTCTAACTAATCTACTGGAGAGGTTTCCTTCGCCCTCTCCTGCCAGTCTAACTTCCCAAGTGTAACAGATGCCGCTCTCAAGCGCTCCTTTCTGCGGCTTCTCTTTATTCAGCCTCACATATTTCTCCCCATGATCTGGGTTTCCATAGAGAGAGGAATAAAAGGGGGGACCATGGTCACAAATCCCCTGCCCCATGCAAAATAAAAGAGCCTCATTCAATAGACGACCCCGTCTGGACATGGGAGAAAAAATAAGTCTTTGCGAAGCTACTGTTGCAAAGAACTGGTAACTTATTTTCCATAGGCTGCATTTTGCTTTAAAATCTTAGTTATCACTGGTAAAGCCACTCTTTTTCAGCAGTTGTGCCTCTCATTCTGATCTTGAAGTTCATGACTGGTCCTCAGATATCATTCTTCCCAGACCCACTAGATCTGTGGTTTGAATAGTATCGCAATAGCTGAGCTACAGCAGCTAAAAGTCGCCCTAGAGAGGAGCCTGGCTTTGAAGTGAAGCAACTGTGACTATCTGGAGTTCACAACCTATCTCCTGCTAGACCGTGCAGGTTTCAATTCCTGTGCCATACAAGCACCTGGTACCATCTTCATTCCTGGTTGAATTGCCTTTAGAATGAATCCATTTCTCCACCCCGCCTTATGCATCCCTCTTGCTTCGTTTCTAAGGGTAATTCAGTTAATATTTCAAATAAAGTCAGGTTGGCTTGATTTACTTATATGTTCATTTTTTTTTAACATGGGGTCACTCAGTAGCTTTCCTCCCTCACAAGATTTAAGGGTAGCAGCTCCTGAGCGTCTTCAGAGACCCACGCCCCTCTCTTTCGAAGCAAGGAAGGACTCACAAAAGAAATTAAGCAGATTAATGTGGTTCAGGTCGCGCTTCTGTGGAAGCACGCGAGCTTGGCCGCAGCTGGGCAGCTTGCGCCCAGGCTCTTTCGGAAAGCGTCCCAGCCATGGGGATTACGTTTCTTGCCGATTTCATATTTGAGTGTAGATTACCAGGCGTTCTCATTATGCGTACAAATTGGAGGAGGGGGGAGAAGGCAGTCTGGAGCTGGAGCTAGCGGGGGGTGGGGGTGGGGGTCGGGAAAGAAGTCCAAAAGGCCAGATTTGATTGTGTGTAATACAGCATGAAGCTCCAGACGGTAGGACGTGGCACAGAGGCGTGACCTCGAGACTGAAAACTTCACCTTCAACACAAGTTCACTTTGGAAACAGGACAAGTTACATTGGGCTTGGTAGGGACAAGTGCACATTTTTCTTTATAAAACCGGGAGCTTATAAGAGGAAGGGAAACAATTGAAAAGCTTCTCAAAGCAGCAGAGAAAGAAGCCTTTCTCCTGGTGTCTGTTGAGCTCATGAGACGTTCTGGGTGTGAGACACAGCTGCCCTTCAGAGCACCAGCCCACTGTAGCTGCTCTTGTAGTCTCCTTTCTTCCTCCCTTCTTTTTTCTCCGCCAACTGCATGGGGGGTGGGGGAAGGTAAGAAGCTGGTAATATTCTGGGGGATAATTTTTTAAAGAGAATTTAGATGGCAGTAGCAGACATTGGTCAATGCTTATGCAGGCTCAATTAGTTCATTTTTAAGGTATTCTTGATTGTGAGAGAAAAGATCTTCAGAGAAAAGGGAAGAGGGAGATGAGAGAGGGTGATCGCACACAGGGAGTGCTGCAACAGAAACAGGGTAACTTAAAAAATAAAATATTCATCATTTAAAACGCAATGCAAATACTCCAATCTACTGAAACCCTAGTCATTTGCTAACAAAATGGAATGTCAATGGGAAAGTGCTGTGGCATTGTGTGGCTGGGACTGCCGACAGGACGGTTAGAGGACAGGCAGGGACAATAGAGACCTTCTCTGCAGAGGAAAAGGATGCATACTCCCACAGCCAGGTCGGGTTGATCCAATCTCAGTTTCTCTTCTGCGGTCACATCTTTCTGTGCACTGCCATTTTCAGTGGGTGAACCCTGATCTTACAGGGTCCCAAGAAAAGAGCTCTATGGAGACAGAGCTATTGTGCAGCATTCAGCCTGGCTATCTTTTTTTCCTGCACCAGGATCTGAGGGTTCTAGGAATCATGGACACTTGCCAGTCACTTGTTTTGCACTGCAGACAGGGAACTTTGCTTCTGAGAACCTAATTGAAGACATATATATATATATATATATATATATCCTATGTGGAATTATTCCCCTTTAATATTTCCAGATTTAAATTGCATTGGTAGTTTTTCATTTTAATTATTGTCTTAAAGCAGAAATGGTGCGAGAATTAAAAGATGAAGGACAAGAGTTCCTACATGATCGATCAGAGACATGCAGAGACTATTACATTACACTCTGTGGGTCAGCATTTGAGGCATCAGTAAGTCATTTAGCTGAACATTAAATGCTTTCTATAAGTTACTTTAGTAATTGATAGAGCCACTCAAATTGCCACACACTTCCTTCTCAAGGACAGATTAAAGTTTTGATGTACAAAATTGTTAAGAATGCTAGGGTTTCATTCATAACAGAGATCATATGTGTCTTCCCTGCAAACCCCATCCCCCAGCCCTGTTACCCTACCCTGTAGAACACAGTACTTATGTGAAATCGCAAGCATTCTGTCCATGGTCCTGTGTGGTTATGGTACTATAGGAAGCTTGATTATCAACTGAAATATGGGTTCCTTCTAAGAAAACTTTTTAGTCAGTTATCAGCTGAGTGGTGCTCAGGTTATCATTTTGGGGCCCCACAGGGGCTGGAATCTATTGCATTTCAAAATGAGCAAGAGACCATATTTAACTTGCTATTATTCAGGCATTTGATGATTATATTATCATTATTATTATTCTGCATGAGGGAAACTGTAAAGAGCAGGGTTGAGGGCTGTGAGAAAAACATATGCATGTATGTATATATGCATATATATATGGTGGAGAAAGATTAGAAACGTTTAGGGGAAGGATCACTTTTCAGGAATATATTGGGAATCCATTTTTAAATAAGATATTAATGCTTCCTCTATTGTGACTATTGTGTTAGTTTTTCTTGAGGGGAGGGTGTTGGCTTCCCGAGTGTTATTAGAATCTCCCTCTTCTATAACTTTTCTTTGGGTGGACTTTTGCATTTTGCCCCAGTCTAGATTTCGGGATTCTAGATTTAACTCCCCTGTCGGAGTAGATGTCAATATGATCTGGTTTGTCAGATTCCAGTTGCTTGTGGATGTGTCAGTTGGGCCATTCTGTGTGTGTGTGTGCGTGTGCGTGTGTGCACCCGCGCACGCGCTCACGACTGCCCTGCTTGCTATAGACGTGAGTACATTTTATAGCCAAAAACTTTTTGGAGTCTCCAATGTACAAGAGCTCAAGCGGCTGGCAGAAGAAATCATCTCCTCAGTAGCTCTTTGCCTTTAATGGGTCTGCTCTGGGCTCCCTTGCAATTCTGCAGTCTGTTCCCAATTTGCATGTTGCTGCGAACCCAAGTTCATTCTCTCCAACCTAGGGAGGATGAGAGCTACGGAGAAAAGAAGAGTTGTTCCAAAGTTCAGGACGCGGCCTCGGCGGGAGGGAGGGGTGCGATCTGGGAGGCCAGAGGACCGTTTACCTCCTGGTACCTCCTGGGGAGCAAGATGAGAGAGCCGCCAGTCCTGAACGTGGTCTTCCAGACACAAGCTAAATGGAGGCGGTTTGACCAGAGGGGAGTAGGGAGTGGTTGGGAACTTTCACAGGAGAGGTTGTGTCTCAAGTCAGTGAAGGGCATTTTTTTTTCCCCGGGTCGAATAGATCCTATGGCGACAACCGGGCAGCTGGTGAAACG